CGGGGTATTTAACCTACTGTTTTTGTTGGTGGTTACTAATACTTTTTATCTGATCACTATCAAAAAAATCCCAAAATGTTATCCTCGAGCAGGATAAAATATATCGGCTTGCCACGATTCATTCATACACCGAGAGCATCGAAGCTGCTCGAGTTAGGCACTATGGCATCCGTCACCTGAAATTGTTTGTAATCGTAAATACACAGCCAACCTAAATATCTTACTACTATATCTTTGTTTTTGTGTGTGGAAGTAAAGTTATTTATTTTACTCTAGATGTAAAATATACCGGAAGGTACAACTTCACACTGCATCATCTTTTCTCAAATCATTAGTCTCTAATATGATACCACTTTGTACGCTTATGTACAATGCTGTATATAGTTTCTCCTCCCTTTTACTCTGCGACCGATCGCTCTTTTTATCAATGACCTCATCTGAATAAATGTATATAAAAGATTTGTGCAAGTTTCATGAAACTGGAACTCAGAGTCACTTCTTGTATAGGACACTGCTAAGTGTAGGCTTTGAAAAAGGACCCTACTTTGGGGAGTTGTTTCTTCATTCACAGTGCAATGATGCAACATGTTTTTAATAGAAATGAATGCCGAAATAGAGTATAACAGGGTACCCAAATTTTAAAAAAAATCGAAGGTGGTGTTTTTTTTTATTCGCATTGGAATTTTCCTTTGTTTATTTTTTTCCCATGTTTGCCTAAATATATTGTAACTATTGTGTCACTCAGATACCTTATTTATTTTTTCAATAATAGCCATATATTAGTAAAATAATGTCTGCAAGTTATGTAATAATGATTAAATTATTTCATGAGATACAGATTTCCAAAGTTTGCCATTTGTCGTTCGAGCAGGCATGTTTGGCAATTTTTAGAAAACTAAATTTTTAATAAATATTATTACTTTATATTACAAGCAAGTTGTACTCATAGTTTGTTTGTAAAAAGTTTTAAAATTCTCCTAATTTTATTGTTTTAATTATTCACTTTCAAACTTGCCCCCTCCATCAGTGCGCGTTATTGCAACTGTCCACCTCTCCCTGCCTTACGATTTTTCATGTCTCCAAATATTTTTTCTGGTCAAAACTAAGTGTGGATTCGTTTATACCAGACACTAGACAATGTCATATAAAAACATCAGTTGATTTAAAAATGTCGACCAGTCGCCCTTTGGTCGATCTTATCTGAAATCACCCTATATATTTTAACATACACAAGGAATAAGAATGCAGAGGACGCACCCACAACACACACGGCGTCGACGCACTAACTTTTTTGTATTTATTACATAAAAAAGGACAGTAGAAACAATCAAGACACATCCTTACATAGTTATCCCTTATCAATCAACACCCCCCAAAGCCTACCCATGCGCCTTTTATATTGGTCATATGAAAAGAGAAGTTTGGTCAGTTACCATCTCACCCGTCAACAATGTTACAAATATGGGGCTGCTTTCGCACCAATACTGTTCTCCAAAATTGTTGCTAAACTTTCCTAGGAGTGTATCTCTTACTAAGAAGTAACGGTATACAGAGTAATTATTTGTGACTGTCCATAAAACAGCATCCCCATAGGCTCCAAGAACCCATGTTCTGGCTTCCCCGCATAGACCGCCAAAGTTTGCGCTTGCGTGTCTCCGTGGCAAACACATCGTATCTTGCGAAAAAAGAAAAAAAAAGAAAAACAGATTTTAAAGAATACAAAAAAAAAAGAAGAAAACAGATTGAACCTTTTTTTGTCTTTGGAAACGTTTTTACCACGTGCTACGAGGCTATATATTTTCATCCCAGTTAAACAAAAAAAAATGTAAACGCTTTCAAAGCACGCTCCAAAGCATGCAAAGTGGCATGCTAAGGGGAAGGACGCCAGGACGACGGTCAAAAGCCGCATGGCATGTGCATCAACAATGGCGGAGTTCGAGTCCGCGCTGGCTTCAACGTTGTGCTGGAAGAGCCTGGAACAGAGACTGCGATCGTTATATAAGTCAGCTCCAATTCTTAAACATGCCCCCTCCTGCAATTCTTGATGCTACGATTGCCTGTGGATACCTCCCCTGCGTTTTGAAACAGTAAGTACGTCGGTAACGCTGGCCATTGGCGACGCAGGAGGCGCCTCCTTCTTGTCCAGACGTTTGAACCACGACCAACTCTATACTTACGACCACTCCGTCTGGAAATACTCCAGCACTCACCTCCCGGAGGACCGAATTTCAGCGGCGCCTCGTGATTGGGCCTGGAACTAAGTATATTATGTCGTCTTTCCCGGCTGCATCAGGTTGTTTTGGCCTCTATGATGTTGGCGGCGCGCGGTCGCAGCCAATACTATCTGGTGTTGGCTGGGCAAACTAAAAAAAAAAAAACTAATTCGCGACATGAACTCCTTCAATATTTTTTTTACAGAGATAAAAAAAATATTTTAGCGTGAACGCGCTTGAAATCAGGAAGCGCAATCAGCTGGCACACACCCACCGATAACAAAAACCCGACGAGGTAGGAGGACCGAGTTTTTGTGCCGCCTAGTGAGAACGCCTCTCACTAGGCGGTGCTAAAACACTGCCGTCAGCCGGGAGCAGGCTCTTTAATAGGGAGCGCTCAGATGACGTTGTCGTAAGTATAAAGTTGGTCGTGGTTTCGATAGATGCACCCTGTCTTAGAACGACTAATGGCTGATTTTGCTCCCGTGCGCCTCTCGGTTAGTCCCGGTCGAGTGCAGTTAGTTCTCAGCATTTGTGCAAGGTACCTAGCTCGAACCAGATGGTCTCTCCGGGGAGCAAATGGGAGTTCAGAGGACCAAATGCTGCCGTTAGCCCTTTGAGACATTCTTTTTTCTTAGAGTGTTGAACAGAGGTGTCAATAGTACAGGGTCATGACTGTGGCTGTGAAATGCAATAGCTTATGTTATCTAAAATCGCTAATAAAAAGTGGAACAAGTCAAGTTACAAAGCAAATTGACGGTAAAATTAAACATAATGTCTTCCAGTTCCTATTCGCGACTCCAACTAACTATAGACGGCGCCACTCATTTTCCAAAAAGGCGGTTATAGTGATGGTCGGAGATGCGTGCCGCTGTTCAGCCTGTCTAGTGTGCTGGTTTCACTGAGCGACACAAATTATTTCTGGTAATACGAAGCAGCTGGGGTGTTATGAGCGCAGGTCACCTCTTTACCCTGAAAACAAGAACGGTGTTTAGCGTAATATTTACGCAAGGATGCGCGTTTTAATTCAAAAGCGAAACCAAAACTAACCCCTATTTTTGGTTTTAATTTCTCGATTTAGGTCTTAATTTCGGATTCTCTCATAACTCAAGATATGTCTCATATCGTAATTATTTAGTTAGAGAAGTTCTAAGTGGAAACTTAATTTTGTGACATACATGTTCTATCCAGGCTAAAATTTGTAGTTGTTGAAAAAATCAGTGCTGATATTTGTGCGTTCTCTCTGCCTTTTCTCGCTCAGATAATTGTCATGGGAAATAATGAACTGCGGCCTTTTAATGTTCTTTTGGGGTATTTAGACGATTAAATGGTTTAACATTATTCCCAGCACAAGAATAAGAAAATAATTCGCATTTTTACAATATGCCCACAAAACGCATAGATTAATAAACGCTTCTCTCACTGCAACAACTCAAAGACGGAATCCGAATCAGACAGCTGAAGTGTGTGTGTGTGTGTGTGTGTGTGTGTGTTTTTTAGCAACGCGCGACGCATAAGGCTTTATATTCCATCGAGTGTTTGACTGTTTGTCTGTTATCTTGATGACAATGTCAGAGGGCTAAAAAGAAAACAAAATTATACCATTCTGGAAAGACTATTATGGTTAAATATGGTATTTTCATGATCTTGGCGTTAATTGGGGGCACACATCGCCGCGATTTGTATTCATATTAATATTAAAATTTAGATATTTTAATACGTAATTTTTCAAGCTCTAACATAACTTGCTGCTTATGATTTAATATCCAACGCGCGAACAAATATGACAATCAAAAGTGCGCTAATTATTATCACGGGTGTCAATTGTAGCAGTATATATTACCAAGTAATAAAATAAAAATAGTCTAAAATCAGTGAAAACATTCTAGCTAATGTGAGAAATCCGTTTGAATTTACATTAATTGTGGGTAAAGTATATTTTGCTATCAAAGTCGCGCCTTTTGACAATCGGCAAAATGCCCAAAATCGCAACCAATATCCTTCCAAACCAAATGCCCAAAAGAATTTTTTTTAATTACCAATTTTTTTATGACGTTCAGTTACTTCATTTTTACGCTCCGTCGTTTTGAGAATCTCAGCCTTTCCAGTTCGAAGCAACGCCGACCTGCTTGCGCATCTGCTCACTGCAGCACGTTTCGTTGGCGTTGGAAGCCGGTGAAACAGTAGTGAGTTTTAGTATTGCGTATACGAGCAAATGCAAGCGCTGTGTGCTTGCGTTAGCTTTGCATGTTCTACACTGCGTGTGTGCGGAGCCCAAAATTGCGGTCTTGGATAGCGCATGGCGATAAAACGCACGCACAACGTGGGGCACGCAACAGTAACGCAACCACACACCGCTTGCGTTTGCTTCTATGCTCAATACTAAGACTCTACAGTAAGGTACAATTACACACCGACTGCAGCACTACGTTGGGACAGTGAAGAGTGTTGTACGCATTTGGAATTTTGACATTTCGCGAGCCACGGTCCCAAGCAGTTCCGCCGTGCCCGCTGAGCAGGAGAATCGGGGGACCCTCACTAGAGCGCTTCCCGTTTCCGCCGCGGGAGGGCGAGCGTCGAGCTGGAGACGCGGATACCCTCGTGGTTTTGGCCGTTTTCTTTCTTAAGCTTATTTATAAAAATCCTCAATGTATTTATACGTAAATATTTAGCGCTATATAGGATGCTGGTGAAAGTCAAGATATCTGCCTCTTTCACACGACCCCTAAACTATGGCATTGAACGTGACTGCCGTATTGCGAAAAGTGGCTGACGGCATATACATACCCGCGATGCTGGAGACGAAAAGGAGACGACCTCGGGATTTCTTGAGGAGCGGCATGAACTTCTTAGATACGTTCACTGCTCCTAGGACGCTCACTTCGAAGTCAGTTCGGATTGTCTTCGTACTCTGCCACTCGATGAATCCCACATTGAGCGTACCGGCGTTCGAGACCACGGCCCAGAGCACTGTAGTAAGGGGCAGAGAGAAAAACCCGACAGCCGTTATTCAGTCGAACAATTTACAGACAAACTCAACTCACTGACATCAAGCTACTGCGGTGGCGCTGCTGTCGTCACTGCGCATGCGCATACACTTCACTCCTCCCGAATTTGGTCTGTGCGCACGCGCAGTGCCCAAATCTGGTGTGGACAGAGCGGCTGAGTTTATAAACACTGTGTTGGTGTATTAGGGGAGCCGCGCCTTAAACGCCACTCCGAATTGCGTGTTTAACGTCCCCTTCCGCCCACGTATCGACAGTAGTCCCGAAGTGGCAACAAATGACGTAACAAAAGCCGGAGCGTCATAGGGTCGGATGTCGCAATCCTGGGGGTTGGGCGCAGAAGTTCTGTAAAGAAGCACTAGAGAACGTGAGCTCCGCTGTCGGAGGTGTGTCACAAATACTGGATGCGGAAGCTTCCGAGGACGCGGTTAAGTCATAGCCTCTTATATACTGTAAAAGCCTGCCAGATCGCCAGGAGAAGCGGCCGCCGAAATTGAAAAGGTGGAGCGGCAGACAACGGATGAGAGGAGAGCCACGTGACCGACGCCCCGCTGTGGCCAAACGCCGAAACACACTTTTTCCGAGCGAGCGAGTGTGTTTCGGGTCCTCGTGGCTACAAAAGCTGTGCGCTCACGTCCAGGTTCCCTGAGAAATGGCTCCTTAATGCTCCTTGATACCAGATCCTCAGCGCTCCAAATCCGCGACCGGGCACCCTATGGCTCTGTCGTCGAACTGCCAGGCCTTTTGAGTATAAAGGAGGCTATGGTTAAGCTGGTGCGACCTGCGGCAGCACAAGTGTCTTCCACACCATCCGCCACCGCTGTGACACCGCCAGGAATGTAATTGTCAACAACATGACACTTCAATGATGTCGTCAGGCAGAAATCGAGGATCACTTCTTCAGACGCAGTGAACACACCAGACAGAGACACATTCCAGGCATCGTACTAGGGGGAATACACTTCACTGCGGAAATGCAATGTCCATGGCACCGACAACTTTTGCGCAGTAGGAACTGCTGTACGGGCGCAGTCCCGGGCAGAGCCAGAGAGTTTGGTCAATGGGAGGAGCGGACAAAGTCAGGGCGTGTACCAAATGCAAATAGATGGCTTGGATGGCTCTCTTGGCCAACCAGAAGCCGAAAAGCATCCCTACACTGTAAAAAAAAAACGTCAGTTAACAGCCTTTTTCAAAACTGGAAAGCGCCGTGAGAGGCGCGCACGGACAAAACGCCGTAGAGGCGACATGACGGCACGAGTCCGTAAATGTACGGCTTCCCATATTTCTTAGTTCAGGTCTATGTTCCCTTTTCTTTCAAGTAAAAACACATAACACACGCCACGTTTGCTCTAGAGATAGTTTTTTTGTTGGCAGATGTCTCATGTTACTTGCCATTCGTGCCAATGCTAAAATCTCTTTCGAACGGCGGAGGGAGACCCACCCAAAGGCCGGCGCACTCAGCTCGCGGACGACGACGACCGAGCGAGGAGCGCCGTCCATCACGTGATGTTTACTTCCCGGTCCGTATGCTCGCTCGCGCGTGAACCACCACGGGCCGGGAGGGCGGCAGCACTCTTCGTCGTCGCGGCGATCATCTTTCACCATTCAACCAGACTAAGAAGGTAAGCTAGCTCATTTTCGCATGCGCCTTGCGAGATAACCGAAGTGCAGAAGGAATCAAAGACGCGTAACTTAAAGCAATAGCGCGGGCTGATTCAGAAAAGGCGCCATATTTTTTGCTTTAGCTTCCCGACTCAGTTGCGCGAGGGAAACCTATCCACGCATCAGACTCGACTCGATGGACGTGTGCAGGCGCAGGGCTCATCGCCATCAGTGTTTGGTTTGCTCTGGACTGAGTGGGCTCTCCCGAACTCCTTCTGTTCGTACCTGTTTTGCTTTCGGGCGCCGTCACCCTTTCGCTTTCGGGCGCGGTAAGAACCGGAGAAATCAGATTTTAACATGAAAGACTGAAGCGCGCTCATTGAATAATAATAATGAGCGCTGTCGCGTACTGAATTTAAGAGCATGTCGTGTTTTCTCTAGTTTATACACTGATGTTTAGGACAATAGCTGGATCGCGTACCCCCGCTTGATCGCTGCAGCCCGAGTGCGGCCACCGGACGGCAATCTTGCATGTTGAGAAAGCGCGCTTTTGGAGCGTTGCGGAGGCTGGCGGCAGCGTGCTGAAGACACGGTTTCTACTCGTTCGTCGTCATTCACCGAAGAAGTTCTTTAAAACTCGACGTGAGACTTGCCGATGAAAACACATGACAATTTTTGCGGAAGCGCAGTGCAGCAGGAAAAAGGCACAACTCGTCGAAAGCAAGTTTCGCCGGTCTCGCAGCATGTTCAAAGCTTCCCTGGCACCCCGAAGCGCTGCGTCTCTATGCCTTCGCACGCTTGGATGCCGGTCAAGAATCGACACCGTGTGAATGTGTTTTGCGAGTGCAATGTGCCTGTAGCCGTATGCAGGGTATCGGAACAAAACGAAAACCAAAAACGAAAAACGAAAAAAACGATATTTTTTGGCGGAACGGAAACGTAATCGAAACGTTATTTATTATTTTGTTCCGGAGTGAAACCGAAAAATTTTCTTATCGGTTTTCGGTTCAAGGGAAAATATCAGGTATTTCAGTAATTCGTTTCACGCAGCGAAGAGACTGCCGTTGGTTTGTACCATAATTAAAGAGAAGACAAGCAAGCCATCGCCCCGCGTCTAAACTCCGGGCGAACAAGCATAGCAAAAACAAAGACAAAAAAATACAACGAGAAACAAAAAACATGACTCAAGGCGCCATTGCTTCCCACCAATGAGAGCGCGGTGGCGCGACGCCTCCACACGCTCGCAATGCTCTCCTTGGCACTTGCGCCCTCTCCCTCCATGCTTCTTCGGACGACACAGACAAACAACAGATCACGGCAAGCGCGGGAAGTTTGTGACCCGGTGTTGTAGAAGTCCATCTTTTGTTTTTCTACGGATACGGCAGTCTGAGACTCTGTTGCGAAAGTGTACGTCTTCATCCCTATGGGCCTTCAGGGCCTTCTCGGCGCTGAAATTTATTTTATCGGACCAGAGGTCCTGCCTTTCACCGTGCTGCTTCTGAGATCATGCTCGGTGCCTTGATCATGATCTCAGTCTCAAGGCAATGAACATGATCTCAGAAGCAATGTCGTTTCCGCGGATTCCTCTCGAGCGCCTGAATTATCTATTTTTGTGTAAAAATAAACGTCACGTTCCTTTTAATTTTTGTTGCGATTTTTTTTTTTATAGAAAGAAACCGTTACGAACCGTTACGGAGCATTATTTTTTCGTTCCGGAGCGGAAACGGAACGGAAATTTTTCGTATGGAACGAAAATGAAAACGGAACGAAAAACATTTCGTTCCAACACCCTGGCCGTATGTGCCTCTGGATCGCCTCTGGTTTATTTTACTCTGACGACTGTATTTGTAACTAAGTGGCGACGGAAGAGGGGGGGAAAGTACTTCTTTTTTTTTTTTTGTTAGACGGTTCAGAGAATCTTGCGCACAACAGCTCCTCATCAGTGATCAGCGGTGTCTCATTATCAACCTACTTAATTTCACTTTACGTTTGAGCACGGCTCGCCTAATTGGGATTGGTCAACAGACTGCACACGACCATATGGACCGCGCTTCAAAGATCTTCATTCTCGCCGTCTTGTACTTTTGCCTTCGAAAACTCTCCTTGCTCTACAGCGTTGCTCTATTTGTGCTGCTATGTGATCTATTAGAGTAGATTTGAAACACAGCCGTGGTTAATAGTGCATAAGAGCTACTGTACGGATTGCTTTCCCCCCTTTATTGATAGCAACTTGCCTGAACATCTGGATGCTCCAGAACTCTTTAGCCGATATAAGATGCAAAGACATCTACGCATGACACACCTTCAAAACATTTTCGCGTCACCAATTTTTGATCGGCATCCTCGCGTGCGAAGACACAGAGACTCAGCGCTTCGGCATGCCAAGGAAGCTTTGATCATGCCGCAAGACCGTCGAAAGTTGCTTTCGACGAGTTGTGCCTTTCTCTTGCGGCGCTGCGCTTCCATAAGAATTCACACATGTTACTCGCTTATATTTGCCTACGTAAAAGCGACTATTCAAATATATGCTCAAGCAAAAAGTGGCCACTTTCCGAGAAGAGTGTCCGACCCTTAGTTTCACTTTTGTAGTAGCTTCTCCTTGGCTGGAACGATTATTGATACCTTGCGTGGGAGGAAGAGTGGTGTCAAGCATTGTTTCGGTGGCACCGATTACTTGAGAAACACTCGTATGAATCTTCCTCCCATTATTTTCATTTTAGGGAAAAATGCTTGTTCTCACGTGTGGTTTATTCGCTATGTTTAAATAGTTTTGTTGCTTTGTAGTTGTAGAGGATGGGACTGATTTAGTTATTGCATCAAGCTTTAAAGGTAATGAGGTCCTTGCCAAAGTTCTGTGTTTTTGCTTTCTATTCGCTTTTCCAACAGCAATCTTTTTGCTGTGAATAATTGTGTATCATAATTGCAATTATAATAGTTTTTATGATACTGTGAGGAACTGTGGGAATTTCTATAGTACTTGCATCTCTTTTTACAATGTGATAAACCGTAATCGCCTTCTCCAAAAGCTCAAATGTGGGGGACATGCTATCACAGCCGTGATGAAGCACTCACGCATCTTTTTGCTGCAGATTATACTTCTGAGCATCGCCAGCAATGACGGGGCCCATATGTTGGACGAACCACAGGACGCCACGAAATTGATTGTTCTCGAGCCAACCACGGGAAAACAGTGGTTCCTGGGACCCATCTTGGTGGATTTCAAGTTGGGAGCATTAGGAGCCTGCCAGCACTGGTCTTCAGCTACGATGCCTCTACAGAAGCCGCTATCCCACGACAGTCATTCGAGGCACGCTACCACAGCCATGAAGGAACGCTCGGACATCTTTTTGCTGCAGGTTCGTT